CACTATTAAGTTAACTTATTACAAAGTCACTTTTAAAGTACAGCGAATTCTTGTTCCTTATATACATGTTTAATTAATTAATATCCCAGTCTGGGCGAATTATCCCATTTGGGATTATTAATTCCTTCCAAATAAATAATGCGAAATATCAAAATAATTTTTAATAAATATACGGAATGTAACACGAATATAGATATTATATGACAGTGAGCTTCGTGTGATTTACTCACACAACGACATCACTCAGGTCAAGACAATAGTCTATTTTATTAATTCAAAAAAAAAATATAAATAGGATGGCCGTCCCACATTTTTGTTTCCTTTCAAGCAAGGATGTAAGACATTCGATTATAAAATTTTTTTTTTACTATGTAAATTCAAATTTTATATTACTATAGATCTGCAGTGACTATTTAATTCCAGTAATTTTTTTCAATTGCTTTTTTTTAGATAACGTTTGTATATAATATGTAAATATGTAATAAATGGATCACAACATAAAATAACAATATTCTATTTTTTTCCTTTTTAAATATATATACCAATAATAATCACTCTTAATTCTATCCAATTAAATTCAATTAAAAATTCGAATATATTTGTAAAACTAAAGATAATATACATATATATAAGAAAGGTTCATAGTTTTTTATGCAAACAATTTCCTTATTTGTATTTCTTTGGTCAAGATTGACAAGTTTTTTCATAACGAACTGAACACAGACCTTCCATCCAAACTTAACTTAATGTTAACTAGACTTTTCATTTAAACTAGAGTGACAATGAGTGGCAGGAGATAACCACCACCACCATCCTTAAAACACTTACCCTTTTACTTCTTCACCATCTTTTCCTCTGCTTCTTTTTTTCGAGTTTTTTTTATACATTTTTTACAAGAAAAAAAATAAAATAAAAGTTTGTCATTTGATCGATGCGTAAACATTAATTATTTATCCTATTGGTTTTTTTTTGGTAGGACAGATGCGAATGATTTTTTTTTCTTGGAAAAACAATTTATTTTTTGACAGAGTCCAAGGCGACAAAATGTGAACGTTGTTGCTTGGTTTGGTTTGGGAAAAGGTGTTAATAACTAACCAGAGGTACTATTTTTTTACTTGTATTCATTGATATTTTTATTTTAGCTTATAAATATTTTAATCAGAATTCAAAATGTGGAACAAATCTTGCTGTGTAATTACAAGATTTTCATTGATAATATTTTACTTTTCGTAATTGTTAATATTAATAGTATTAATAATACTATTATAATTACAAGAAGATGTCAAGGCAGCACACCGTTGAAAAAGAGACATTTTGAATATGCGACAAGTGTTGAAGCATGCATGCCACCTTGAACACTTTACAGTCATTCTCACACATTCCTCATGTACACAAGGCTAATCTTGACCTGGTGACCCAAAGATATGATGATGCTGCAGAATTCCAGAAGGCGCGTGGATCTGGAGTTTATCATGATTGCACCAATCATCAATGACACTTTCACTAATCTTCCCAGACCAGAGATGGCTGCTGGCATGCTGGTCGAAAAGCTGCCCTGCAACGATCCTACCCTAGGGCAAGGGTGGCTCTGTGACCAAGTCGCAACTCTGCTGATGAATTGTAGTGCCATGTAAACATCTAGATCCATTAAAGTAACGAGAATCTGCAACTCATTTCAAGCACAGGATGCAAATTCAGAGCAGGGTTGGTGACCCTGAAATTGCATTTGGGCTCTGGTGTTAGGAGGAAAGTTGTAAAATAGTGTTTGTTTTGTATAATCATTTTCCTAAATTCTCTGTTTAACCAATTTAATAATTTTGGGTAGGGGACTGGATTGGGTTTTTGCCCAATCAGTCCCCTGTTGTATAGATTAAAATTATCACACAATTATATACATCTTTGTCAGCAATATGGCCAACAAGGAAAAAGCTATAAAAATGGTTTAGATTTTGTTTGGTATGTTTTGTACAAGTTAATCATTTTCATAAATTTTCTGCTTCTCTTTTTAATTTTTGTCTGATCAACTGAACCTGATGGTGTTATTTAAATAAATGGGGGTAGGGTTGTTGGTGAGCAGGCATGCCACTGACAAGACAGGGGACGCCTTTGGGATATACTAGGGATGTTAATCAGTCCTTTGGGACTGGGTCCCAAAAAGTCCGGGACTGAACTGTTTCAGGTTCAGTCCTACCATTTGCGACTTAAAGTCCCTATAAGTCCGTGTGTAACATAAATATTTAAAAAAAAATTTCACATGATACATAAATTTTTTCAAGATGTCATCATCAATTTGAAAATAGCTTTGAAGTCAATGGTGAATTTGATCTTTACAAACCAAATTGAAGCATAACAACAATCACAACCTTTTGTTTTTATTAATGTCAATGATGAAAATATTGATGATATATTGTATTCAGAAAAATATAATTTATCTTTAGAAGTCACATCAATAAATTCAACATCAACATGTAGTTATTTTAAAAGATCATTTCAAAATCATTATAATCAATCAACTTCAAACAATGAATTTATCAAAAGATATTTAGAAATGCCAGAAGAAGTAAAATTGCCTGGATTGGTATTCTACAAGATTTAAAGATCCTAATTATACTGTTTTGTCACATATGGCTCATGATTTTTTTTCAATACAATCAACTAGTGTGTTAAGTGAGTCAGCTTTTAGCATAGCTAAACACACACTAAGTCCAGTTCATAATAGATTGGATCCTGAAAAGGCATGAACAAGTTTATGCCTTAAAAGTTGGATTGAAGCAAATATAAAATATGTTAAATATATTTTAAAATTTTTTAATATATTTTTTTTTTATATTTACAAACAACATTTATAATAATATATTTTTTTTTTACATTTACAAACATTTATAATAATAAAATATATAAATAAAAATAAAAATATATAATAAAAATATATAATAAATATACTGTTTGAAAAAAGGATGAGGACTTTTTGGGACTTTTTCTAGGACTTTTTATGGGACTTTAAGTCCAGTCCAGTCCCAAGATGGGACTGCCAGTCCCAGGACCGGACCGGACTGTTCGGGACTGATTAACATCTCTACTCAGAAGTGCAACAATAATTTTCGTGTTACAATATTTTGAATCTCACGACCATTTGGGAATGATTTTCTTTTAATGTAATATGTTCGTTAAACTTTTTTGTTGTAAAGAACTTTTATTTATTAATAAAAAAAGGAAATAAATAAATCAAATGTATGTTGTAGAAAATATTCCATGAAAAAAAGTTGTTACACGAAATTTACTTAGTCTCAATTTCTTAAATGTATAACAAAATTCGGAATTTTCAAAATGCTAAGGCTCTGTCAATTTTCAATTTAAGAAAAAACCAGCTGATAAGTTTTGAAGCTTGAGTCATGAACAGTGTCTGAAATTGAGTGCGGGGTTTGTGTTACATATTGAATTTAGCCAATCAACGTTAAATTTTCTACCAGAAGAACAAATTTAATTGGCTAAATTCAATATGTAACACAAACCCCCGCAACACTGCTCAAGTGTATAACAAAATTCGTAATTTTCAAAATGCTAAGGCTTAGCCAATTTTCAGTTTAAAAAAAACCAGCCAATATGTTTTGAAGCTTGAGTCATGAACAATAAAACTTATCGGTTAAATTTTTTAAAATGATATAATATTTTTTTGTTTTAGTGTTT